TTTTTCAGGTAGACCAACGTTTTCAGAACACCGGTAGATGGCAGCCATTACAGACGACCATGTGTTTGTTGTTGTTCCAGGAGCGACCCAGTTTCACATTAATATCATTAGTTCGTTATGAAGGACTGCCATTTTTCCTTTTTTTTTCCACATCATGTCGCCTGCTTGGATCTGTTACTATCTCGCTCGGAGGCACAAAGGAGTGTTAGAGGTAAGATCGCTTCAACCACTTTTTATGACGTGGTCTCATTTCCGGACTCAGGGATTTTGTGAATGAGGCCGACATTTCAGTTAAAATACATCAGCAAAAATATTTATCCGAGTATAGTACTACCTCCCAATTTTGTGCATGATTTTATGGATTAAATTTTACATATTAAACTTGAATAAATACAGTATATTTATTTGCTTAAAGTGTACAATAATAAAGTGATTACTGTTTTTTTCTACTGTTTGTTTTCAACTGTTAACCTTCTGGGTGTCTGTGGGTAGGTGGTGGTGGTATGTGTGTGTGTGTGTGGGGGGGGGGGGGTCCTGTGCTGTTTTAATTTTATTATAATGTTTTATTTTTGTGTGGACCTCAGGAAGAGTGGTCTTCACTTAGCTGAGGACTAATGGGGATCCATTTTAATAAGCAAATAAACAAATTCAAAATGAAATGGATGGTTTTTTCACTTTCATAAATATACCATATTACTGTGGTTCAGCAGAACATTATGCTTTTGCAATGTATTCAAAAGGAATTACCAGTCTTTATTTTAAGAACAAAAAACATTCTTAATGTGTAAAACAAAAAATTCACATAGCTCACATTAAGAAGTTATCCTTTTGTAAATTAAAAATGCTTTAGAGTTGAACACAACATAAATATGTCTCAAAGAAACATAAAACCTTTAAACAGGAACAATTTGTGCACACTTGCCCATTGACATTTTGACTTCTTCTGTTTTTTATTTTTGTTAAGAATGTAAAATATTCTCACACGTCCAGTCGATTATGTGTTGACGGAACTTACAGAGAAGTTGTTTTTAAGAGACGTAAAAATCGTAGAGGATTGTTTTGTCCTAATCTTTACACTAAGCTTGGCATTTTTGCATTTGGAAGGAGTTTCAGTGAGCATTTTTGCCATGGCTGACCTGCGTAACCAGGTAACCACAGGTACAGGGGGCGGCAGCGGCCAAAGTACCTCGGAAACAACTATGTATCAACATCTACTCGCCAAAGTGAGCAAATGGGATTCTGCGTTTTGTACTGCTTTCCATTTTTTACAGAAAGTGGTGAGGATGCAGGAGAGCATCTCTGGGATGCAGAAAATAGCAAGAAAACATTTGTTTAGTACAAAAAACAAAGCAGCTTCACGATTCCCTTCACACTGAAGACAATTCTGCTGCAATCCAACCTTGTTCTAATGGGTCGTGTAGAAAGAATAGTACAGTTATAGTAAGTGTAGAGGGGTTTAAAGGCTACGTAGAAAATAAAGAAAACTTTCAAAAAGTGATGTAAATTTCACTTTCACTTGGCATCAGTCAGTGTCTGTTCTATTCTATATACATTTAAAGTTTTAGAAGGCCTTGCACCACAAGATGAACCTCTCTCCGCTTATTCAAGTTCTAGATTTCCTAAATCTTCTGAACAGGCTTTTGTAGATGTTCCATGTTCTAGCTTAGCTAGGAGCAGAGACCATGCTCCTGTTGTAGAAGCCAAAAAACTGTAAACTGAGTTTGAGGTCTTTAATTCTGCCAGAAAAAAAAGTCTTGCAACTCTTAGCTTCCACTTTTTTGGACTGGTTGCAACACAAGCAGAGGCTAATGGGATTAAAAGCTATGGTTTCAGTTTAGAACTTGCGTTATGTTGTCATCAACAACTTACCCTCTTCTGGCGGCTCTCGGCGGCAGCTAACTGAGCCGACATGCGTTCCTGCATCTTCCTGCAGTGTGCCATGACAGCCTCCAAGACGGAGATCGGGCTGGACCCGAGGGGCCGCCGATCTTTGTCCCCTCCAGGAACCCTGCATTCAAAGTCCCTCTGCAGGGCCAGGAAAGGGTCCGTCAGGGTGTAGTGTCCATAGCGCTCTTGCAGAAACACCTCCTTCCTCTGCGCCTGGAAAAAACAGAAACAAAATTATTTCCTAATTCACATATTCATCTTGAGCAGGTGAATGTGATTCTGAACCCATTAAATAAAATTAACACTATAAATAAACATATTCTTTTAAGCCCAATATCGGCATCAACACAGACAGCCGGGCCCTGAGCTCCCATCTTAGTCCCATTGAATAGGCCACACTGGTGTCTCTAGACCAGTGACGAACCCCCGCTGTGAGTCCACTCATCTGACGCCACACCACAGATTGTTTTGGCAGGCTGTGGTGAAATAACAGTTTGTGGATGACAATGGTTGCCTTTGTCTTGGTTCTTCTGTCTAATACCAAAATATATTTTCAGAATATATTTTGACCCACTGGGAGATACTTACAGAAAGCCATCATTGTTTTAACTAAAGACAACTCAAGTCAAGATGACCGTCACAGCCAGCTGGCATTAGAGAACACAAAATACTGAGCTAAAATCTGGTGTTATAGCTGAGTCATTCACAACACAAACATTGTGTGACATATTTACTAGGGGTGTAAGAAAATATCGATACACTGAAATATTGCGATATTTCATTTCCTGATACTGTATCGATATTCTAAAGTCCTGTATCGATTTTTTATTAAGGTTTAAAACGTCAACCTTCCTGCCAGCCGTTCATTTTTACATTGTAGTTCAGCCTCTGACCACTAGTTGGCAGCAGTGAGCCAGCCATTTGGCTTCTCTACCTCTTGAACACCAGAGAGTAAGAGAGCATTAGCATTGTGAGTAAACATTAGCTTCATGCTCCGATAGCTGAATCTGAGCGGAAAAGACCAACACCCTCTGCCTTCTAAGCTGAGGTAAGGTTACGAACAGTTACTTATTTGTCAGAATGTCTGTATTTTAAGCCAGATTAAGTGTCTCGTGCGCTCTTTTTTCCAATTTTACGGCAGACAGGCATGCATATAGCGCATGCGTCTAGCGCCTTCAGCGAGCTCGGCACTCCTCCCGTGACATAAAACTCTGATGGCATCAAAGTCCATATACTTTAAGTTTATCCTGCTGTGTTTGCTTCAAAAATGGTTTAACTGTGTTGTTTAGCTTCTGTCATGACATATCTGTCATGATATGTATCGTATTGCCAAATTCTTGCCAATGCACAGCCCTAATATTTACCTAAAACTTCGGTAATAACTCTCAAAGTTGAATCTGCTAAGCAGTGAGCTGATATGAATAAAACCTTCAGAAAAGAATCATTGGATGAACATTTATAACTAATTAAATTTTGAAATCACTTCAAAATGGCCACCACAGGTAGCTGATTTCTAAAACACAAAATGCCTCATTTTACAGATATTGAGCAAAATTTGATGTGTAAATTCACAGTACGCTCTCTAAAAGTGACATCTCACAATATCCACAAGTTTCTGTAAAAGCATACGTAGGCTGCCATGACAGACCGCTAGGTCCGCCCCTCGGTTCCATATGTCCGGTGCTCAAAGTGAGAACCAGAGATCCATTCAAACCAGTTCATTTGTACTTTAACTGGTGCCTTGTAAACAACAGCACAAGCAGACGAAGATAACCAGCTTCCGCTGTGAATTATGGGTAGTGGCGTGAAATCAAGAATACTGTGTGCAAACTGTTTCAATTAGTGCAACAACGGTTTTTATTTAACAAGATATTTTTGTTCTCTGACACGAAAGTTGGTGAGCGATATCTATTCATTCAACAAATACTAGGCCTTATATACGGTATATACAACAAGTGTTCTGGTTGTTTGTTAGGGTTCTGTTCAGTTTATATGCACCTTTTCCACTAGTGCCTCTACAGCACAGTTGCTGAACTCTGTTCAGCATGGTTCGGGTAGTTTCCCATTACACTTCAGTAACAGCTCTTGTGGGTGGATTTATCGTAAAGTTGGGCGGTCCCAGAATTCTGAAAATTGACGCCACATGACGTATCAGCTGGTGGCCATTAAGCTATTTGTCAGCCACTATAAAACGTTGTTGAAGAAGACCCCAAAAAGATATGCAACACAACAACGGAAGACATGGTAGAGTCATTATTGTAAATGGCAGATCAGACCGTTGTGCTCTTGGAACATAAGTGACTCCATCCTCTAACCAATCAGTGACCAACAGTCTTCTGACATCACATTTTCAGACCAGAACAGTACACTTGGAACCAAAGTGAAGTAAGTTCTGAAATAAGGAGCTTCAGTTGATCCAAGGATCTCTGACATCTTGACCTCCAAGAATTTTCTATTTCCTCTTTCAGCTCTTGGTGTTTCTCGAACCCGTCATTCCTGATGTTACAGTCACTGATTGCTACATCTATCATTAATTCTTCTGTAGCTTGGTGAGCTTAATAAAGACATTTGGAAGACACTGATTAGAATTATGTTTGTTTTCAAAGTGAATAAATCCATTTTGATTTTTATCCAAGTAGAGCAGATTAACTCTGAGCTCAACACAAACACAAACTTCTGTAGCTGACAAAATAAGTTAGTGTTAAACGTGTTAAAGCATCAAGCACATGTTGAAAGTAAAACCAGGAAATGATCTGCCCTTTGTGGATACCAGCAGTGTTGGATTATGGTCTACAAACCTCTAACATGACTGGAAAATTCCTTCACAGCACAGCTGCAGCTTCTGATGTTTATCATCCATCTTGTAGTTTAAACTTGTGAGAGAATGTAAACAAAATGCTCACAGGAGCGAGGACGGTAACTTCAGAATAACGAGCTTTTCTACACGAACGTTAGACGACAATGTGCCCACAAAGTGTGACGATTTGTCCAGGACTTTTATTAAGGAAACATCATCTATAAGTGATGCAACAAGTGCACATTCTAAATGTTTCTAACATTTAGACAGAGATAAAACTAAAGTTTTGAATTAAAATCATCTTATATTTAAAACTGATGGAGTTACAGCTCTGCTCATACCTTTAAAGGGATCCCCGATTAGCCGTAACATTAGACTTTATTTGATAAATATATATTTTAACTGTAAAATAAAGACTGTAAAAATACTGTAGGATGTTTAGTTTTTATAATTTTTAAAGTAAACGTTTAAAAATATATTACACGGACAGAGCCATTTTATTTACACACAAAGCATTCTGGGTAAATGATGATGTGGATAGGTCCTCGGTGCGAGGCTGCTAGCGAGCTATATCCACCCTGAAGGTTAATCTTGGACAATATCTGATGATCGGCTCTTTTAAATGAAACCAGAGAGCGTTGACAGAGAGGAGAAGGTAGAAATGACTCAGCCTGGAACTGAAAATATGGATGGAGGACAACAGAGYTGCTTCATGGAAGAAGAACCTCAGCTTAGCTTTAGTGTTAGCCCCAACGCTATCAGCCTATATATGTATTAGCTCAGCGCTACACATTCTCCTCTCATCACTGAGGTCCTCCATCCACATGACAGAGAGGGGAACACAAATATGACTCAGTCTGCAACTGAAAATATGGATGGAGGACCTCAGTTTAGCTTGTTTGTCGTGCTAGCACTGAGCTAATACATATAAGGCAATATAACATCAGCGCTAGCGCAAAGGCTAACAAGCTAAGCTGAGGTTCTTCTTCCATGAAGCAGCTCTGTTGTCYTCCATCCMTATTTT